TGCCTATTTAAATGTATTTCTGCTACAATGAATAATATCGCAGATAATTTTCTTTTCAAGTCTGCTTTCATGGTATCAGAGCCACTCTCTGAACCTTAATACTCTTTGCCAACCGTGATGACAAAATACGGAATGGCCGGCGGGAAAGAAACCTCATCATCAGAGATTACCTCTGCCTCATCAGGGACTGCTAATCCGATTCAGATCAGCGGATTTGAAGCCCCATTTCAGCAAATCACGAGTCACAAATTTAATGGCCAGAATTTCGTCCAATGGTCATATTCGGTAATGATGTTCATAGAAGGAAAAGGAAAAGAAGACTATCTTACCGGTGATGCTGCACAACCGGATGAGAAAGATCCCAAGTTTAAAACATGGAAAACAGAAAACAGCATGGTTTGATCATGGCTGATTAACTCCATGAATGCTGAGATGGGAGAAAACTTTATGTATTACAAAACAGCAAAAGAGATGTGGGACGCAGTGAAGAGAAGTTATTCTAACAGGGAGAATACTTCAGAGATTTTCAGGCTCAAAGGAATTCTGAACGATCTTCGCCAAGGAGAACTCAGTGTAACCAAATATTTTCATTCTTTATCACGTCATTGGCAGCAACTTGATATTCTTGACGAAACTACATGGCATTGTGCCGAGGATCATAAGCGGTACAAGGAAATTCTAGAGAGAGATAGGGTTTACAAGTTCTTACTTGGCCTGAATAAAACCCTAGATGATGTTCGTGGAAGGATCTTAAGCACATAGCCCCTGCCAGATGTTCGTGTAGTTTTTTCAGAAGTGAAGCAAGAAGAGAGCCGGAAAAAATTAATGCTAGGAACCCCCAATGATGCCATGATTCCAACGTTTAATGATGCTAGAAATTCAACATTGGACACTTCTGCCCTAGCCGCCCGAGGACCACAATCCAACAATGAGAATCAACAAAGAAGAAATCGGCCTTGGTGTGATCATTGCAGGAAATCCGGACATACCAAAGATACTTGCTGGAAAATTCATGGGAAACCAGCAAACTGGACCCCTCGGAAGCAGAATGAAGGAAGAGGCTTTCAAGCCACCCAAGACAAGCATGGAATGGAAGCCTCTACACAACAACAGGCTGCAGAATCATCAATTTCATTGACCAAGGAGCAGCTAGAGCAACTTTATCGTCTTCTCACTCCAACACCTACATCATCTAAGCCAATTTCTAATGTAGGGTTATGCACCACAACACATAATGGTAACCATTCAGCCTTGATCTCATCACTTCATACCCAGGAACCGTGGATCATTAATTCCGGTGCCTCTGACCATATGACAGGTTGTTTCAAACACTTCTCTTCCTACACTCAATGCTCTAGTAATGCTAAAATTAAGATTGCCGATGGGTCTCTAGCTACTATTACTGGAATAGGTTCAGTACAAATCTCAAAAAAATCTTATTCTTCATTATGTCCTACATGTTCCAGCTTTAAAGTGCAATTTGCTGTCCATTAGTAAACTCACTCATGACAATAACTGTGTGGCTAATTTTCACTCTTCTATGTGCCAATTTCAGGACCTATCATCGGGGAAGACGATTGGCAGTGCTAGAGCCTATGAGGGACTTTATTTTCTTGACAAATCTGAGAGTCGACAAGCACATGTGCCTGGAGTATCATTTGTTTCGGTTTCCAATGATAAAGAAATAATGTTGTGGCATCATAGACTTGGCCACCCTAATTTTTCCTATTTAAAGTGTTTGTTACCAGACCTATTCAAGAATAAAAATACTATTTCATTTGATTGTGATATTTGTCAATTTGCGAAGCATACACGTATACCTTTTTCACCAAAACCATATGCACCCTCTATGCCTTTCTCCTTGATTCACAGCGATATATGGGGCCCTTCTAGAGTAACAACCTTGAATGGAAAACGATGGTTCATCACATTTATTGATTACCATACACGGGTAACATGGGTTTATTTGCTTAAGGACAAATCGGACACCACCCAAATCTTCCAAACCTTCCACAAAATGGTTCAAACTCAATTTCAAAGAAAGATTTTGGTTTTGAGGGTGGTGAATATTTCCAGTCCACTTTGGGTAATTATCTTGGCCAACATGGAATCATTCACCAAAGTTCTTGTACTGAAACACCACAGCAGAATGGAATCTCAGAAAGAAAGAATCGACATTTATTGGAAGTGGCTCGTGTCCTCATGTTCACTATGAATGTACCCAAATATCTGTGGGGTGATGCCATTTTAACCGCAACATTTCTCATCAATAGATTACCAAGCCGCCCTCTCAAGTTTCAAACCCCATTATTCGTTCTTACAACCCAAGTCCCACACTTCAATATCCTCACAAATAACCTCCCTCTAAAAACCTTTGGTTGTACTGCATTTGTCCATGTCCATTCCCAACATCGTTCCAAACTTGAACCCCGAGCCATAAAAACCATCTTCCTTGGATATTCTCCAACAAAAAAGGGGTATCGCTATTTTTGCCCCCAAACAAAAAAATCCTTTATTACCCGAGATGTTACCTTCTTTGAAGAGGTCTCTTATTATCCCCACACTTCGCTTCAGGGGGAAAGTAATGATAAAGAAGCTTATGTGTGGGAATGGGATGTCCCAGCCACAGTTGAAGAAACTCCACCATTATCTTTGGCCCCATATTCAGCCCCGATTGTCAAGACTCCAGTTTCAGCACAAACCGAAACTGAAGTTGAAGCTCCTCAGCCACAGTCATCCCAGCCGTGTTTACAGCCACTCCAACAGTCACAACCACAGCCGAAATTGCAAGTCTACTCTCGGAGGAAGAACTTTCAAGAAAATAAACAACTCATAGGCACGGTGGACTGCCCTGAATCCGAACCTATGGTGGGTTCTAATCCTTCATCCCCAGGTAATCCCGAAACTCTCCTTGATAGACTAGATGATCCTATTGCTCTAAGGAAAGGTGTTAGGACGTACAAAACATCCGATTTCCAAATTTGTGTCATATGATAATCTATCACCCTCCTTTCGTGCGTTCACAACAAATCTTTCTAGAATTGATATTCCCAGGACGATTGACAAAGCTCTAGCTGTCCCAGAATGGAAGAATGCGGTCCTAGAAGAGATGCGTGCCCTTAAGAAGAACAATACTTGGAGCATGGTAGAACTACCGCAAGATAAGAGAGTAGTGGGATGTAAGTGGGTGTTCACAGTGAAAGTAAAGCCTGATGGTTCAGTAGAGCGGTACAAAGCCTGATTGGTAGCAAAAGGCTTCACACAAACCTACGGGATAGACTACACAGAGACGTTTGCTCCAGTTGCAAAGCTCAACACTGTCCGGGTTCTCTTATCTTTAGCAGCAAATATGGATTGGCCTCTTTATCAACTTGATGTAAAGAATGCTTTTTTGAATGGAGTGCTAAAAGAAGAAGTATATATGAGTCTTCCACCCGGTTTCTATAAGAGCAAACGGGACAATACAGTGTGTAAGTTGAATAAGTCTCTATATGGTATAAAACAGTCACCGAGGGCGTGGTTTGAAAGATTCTCTAAAGTAATCAAAGGTCATGGGTATGTGCAAGGACAATCAGATCACACTCTCTTTGTCAAACACTCTACAAACAGCAAGGTTACGATTTTGATTGTGTATGTGGACGACATAATTTTGACTGGAGATGACTTTCAAGAGATACAGGAGATTAAGAAGATTATGGCAAGGGAATTCGAGATCAAGGACCTAGGATTCATGAAATATTTCCTAGGAATGGAGGTTGCAAGAAGTAAAAATGGGATCTCTATATCACAAAGAAAGTACACGATGGATTTATTAGAAAAGACAGGAATGCTCGGTTGCAAGCCTGTAGACACCCCTATTGAACCGAGAGGGAGGAGGAATGTAGGTGATGGAAATCAAGTGGACGCGAGTAGATATCAGAGACTTGTGGGAAGACTGATCTATCTCTCACACACTAGACCGGACATAGCTTTTGCGGTCAGTGTGGTAAGCCAATATATGCATTCACCACGCCAAAAACACCTTGATATAGTCTATCGAATATTAAGATATGAGAGGACTATTCTTCCGGAAGAACGAAGATAGGAAAGTAAAAATCTACACAGATGCAGATTGGGCAGGCTCTGAAGAAGATAGGAGGTCAACATCAGGGTATTGTACTCAGCTTTGGGGAAACCTAGTGACTTGGCGTAGCAAGAAACAGGCAGTAGTTGCAAGAAGCAGTGCTGAGGCTGAATATAGAGCTATGGCTCAAGGCATTTGTGAGGCAATATGGATAAAACGACTACTGGGAGAATTAAGAATTGATGGTGAGTTTCCTATGCAGCTCTATTGCGATAATAAGGCTACGATTAGCATAGCACATAACCCAGTTCATCATGACAGAACTAAACATGTGGAGGTGGATAGACATTTTATTACAGAAAAGATCGAGAGTGGAATAATAAGTGTTGGATACATCCCTACAAAGCAACAAGTGGCAGATATTCTAACCAAAGGACTGCACGGACCAGCATTTGAAGAGTTAGTAAGCAAGCTCGGACTCATAGACATTTACGTCCAAGCTTGAGGGGGAGTGTCGGCAGATCAAATTAATTTGATCGGGGAAATCAAAGTGGAAGATTTTGAATATTCAAATTTTACCTTATCTACTTCTATTGGTTATACCGGATTGTTAGGATTAGAGATTTAGTCAATAAAATCTGATTTGATTATTAAAAATCAAATCAGATTCCTATTAGGATATCTTCTTTTATTCGGGTAAGCTAGTTCCTTGGCTGCCTATTTAAATGTATTTCTGCTACAATGATAATATCGCAGATAATTTTCTTTTCAAGTCTGCTTTCAGTACTTGCCTATATATAGGCTGTTCAATTAATGGAAGCGTACTGCAGACAAAACATTTTCCTCCCTCGTGTTATTCTCTCAATTTTATTTCTTTCTTTCTTTACTTCTGTAACAATACAACATGCCTAAATGTTGGATTTACTGAAAACCATACCTGCAACCCAGATTGCAAAAGCTTGTCATAGTTGGCCGTCTCCAATGCCTGCTCAACATCTCGTGACATAGAAGTTATTTTACTCACAACTAGCTCAACATCTAGAGGTGGCATCTCATCTTCAAAATCTAAACGGGCATCAATCTCAGTAAGTAACTCGATGCACTGCATTCTAAGTGATTTTACCAAGGAAGAGAAGCCACCCTGCCAAAGAGCAAAATAAAAGTGTTTCCAGGGCAGATTATATAACTTATTAAGTGGCAATAGCGCTTACATCTATACAAATAGCAACCGGATAAAATACAGTCAAATGGAATTTTAATTATTGCAGTCTGCAGAATGTCATTGCTAGTTCCATTTACATTTTACCTGAATTCCAGCAAGTGCTGCATCTGCGGCCGCCACCGTCTTGGCCGAGATTAACTTTCCAACATTTTCGGCCTGTGAGAGGTCCAAGCGCCCATTGAGAAAGGCACGGAGAGTGAACTCACCTGACAAGACAAAACGGAAAAAAAAAAAAAAAAAAAAAAAAAAAAAAAAAAAAAAAAAAGAGTTGACAAATGTAAATTTAACCAGAGCCTACATCAATCCTACCACTTAAATGATTCTAGAACAAGAAGAAAACATGTGTCAAAAGTCAAAAACTCAATCGTATTTGATATTAACAAAACCAATGTTGTTTGTGAAAACAAACCTGGTTCGGCTGAGCTGGCCCCAGCTCCTAAGCAAGCTCTGAGAACACGATTCAGACAGACTTCACTCCCATGGCACTGGATCTCAACCACATCCTCACGCGTATAAGACCTCGGAGACAACATTGGTACAGCTAAAACCTAACGAAAAAAAAGAACAAAAAAAAAAGTTCATAAACAAGAAACAAATTCACACCAAAAGGGAAAAAAATAACAAATATTTAGCACACACCTCATCGACGACATTGCCGTGAGAGTCGACGACAACGCCGTACTCGACGACGTGGGAGGTGGGCCGCCATGGACGAAAGCCGCTCCTCCGCTTCTTTCGCTTCGCCGGGACGAACACGCGTCCGACGATGGCCACCGCGGAGGGGCCCGACAACCGCACGATCCCCACGGCGCCGGGGGGACCTCCGGTGGGGGTCACGATGGCGGCGATGGTGGTGGCGCTCTCAGCGGCCGACACGTGGGCGGACAGCCGGTCGTCCTGATTGAGGACCAAAGCGTGGCCTCTGGGAGAGAGATGGGGATTTGCTTTGGAGGAGAGTTTGAGAGAGGGAGGGAGGAGGGGAGAGAGTTTCGGGGAAGTGAGGTTGTTGGAGAGGAGAGGGAGAAGCAGAGCTATTGCGGCCGGGGGTGGTGGGCGGTGAAGGTGGGTGAGAAGATGGCGGATTGTTGTTGGGAAGAGCGCCATGGAAGGAAGCTTATATGCTTCTAACGGTGAAGTGGGAAGTGGAAAAAACCAGACCCACTGTCTGGATTAAAATCCTACCGCGAAGTGGTAATCCGAGTTTGATGTCGTTTAACTAGTAAAAACGACATGTAAGTCTTGCATTTGGCACAACGACATGTTTGTTTGTTGCCGTATTCCAGGGTGATGTTTTCTACTGTAGACGTCTAGTCCGTAGAGTTGACATGCCTCGTTCTTTTCGTTGATTCGAGTTTAGAATTCGAGTTTTACTACAGTAAAAATCTCTCAGAAATAGTTACATCTAATTCTTTTGCTATAGTAAAAAAGCTCTCACACAATATTACATCTCAACTTGAATTAAAAACTCAAATTAGCGAACCGAACGAGACTTCACATAGTTAAATACTTGAACCGACAATATTGTCGTCTAAACTTTTCTGTTTTTTGAAATTTAAAAACTAATTGGACAACTTTTTGGAGTTTAAATCTGAAAGTGAAAAAAAAAAAACAATGCCTTAAAAAATAAATAAATAAAACGACACCGACGTGTCGTCCTTCACTAGGTCCGTTCACTTCGCTGATTCGAGTTTATAATTCGAGTTGAGATGTGATTTTGTGTAAGAGCTTTTTACTGTAGCAAAAAAGTTAGATGTGACTGTTTCTGAGAGCTTTTTACTGTAGCAAAACTCAAATTCTAAACTCGAATCGGCGAAATGAACAGTAAAATTAGTTGTTCCTAACTTAAATGGATAAATTGATATGTTAGTTGTCAAACCTTGAGTCGTTATTTCTTCTGATGTTTTCTGCCATGATGGCACTCTTTAAGGCCCCATTCATTCTTAATTTTTATTAAAGTGTTTTCTCTAATAAAAATTTAAAATTAATTTATAATATTTTTTATCATATAAATTAATTTTTTAATTCGAGTTTTTGATTTAAACGAGTAAAACGAACTAAGCCTAATACGCAAAGTCGTAAAACTACATTTTTACTGCTGATTAAGAATTTTCGGTCATCAAAACCTAAAATGGCAGCAAATGGTACAGTATATTTTTTCCACAAATAAACCAACATGTCGTTTCATTGATGTTGAACACATTAATGGCGTGAAATTTCCATAAAAATAATGGTGTAAAATTTTTCTATCGTTTTTCTTGTTGTTGGTTTCTTTAAGTTTCTTGTTTTAAAATATATAAACACATAAAAAAAAAAGTCTGATGTCAATTGGAAAACGGCCAAGTCAAAATTTGTTGTCGTTTATGTGCTAAAGGACATGCCGTTTATTTTATAGAAGATGATTTCCTTAGAAATGACACGCCTTTCTTTTTTTTTTTAGACAAAGGGATTTCAGTACAAATGACCCATTTTGAAAGTTTTTTTCAACAAATGACTAAAATTTTGTAAAATTACAAAAATGACGGTTTTTATTAACTTATTGATCAATCACTGACTACTTAGTAACTAGTTAACTTATCGGTCCATTACTGATTGACTTTAGTTTATTATTGATTAACTCGATGATTTTGTATTATTAATCAATATTAATTATTAATTAATTAAAATTAATTAGTAATTAATCAATTAATAAACAAATTATAGAGTTATTAATGACAAACCATTGATTAATTATGTATCAAACTCCTAAAAAACGGCCACTTTCATAAAATAAGAAAATATTCGACCATTTTCATAAAATAACAAGGGCTGGCTATTTTATGAGAAAATGTGGTAAAAAAGACAATTTAGCTAATTTTTCTTAAACAAATTTGGCACGTGTTTTGATAAAATTTTGTTATGGTAAAATGGAAATACGTTTTGACGTCTTGTTCAATCTTTTCTGGAAAATGTTTGCCGTAGTCATTAGAAAATGTTGGTGTTCTTAGACGACAAAACGACATGTCTCGTTTTTTTGGTATTCAATCGAGGAACGGAGGAACGATAATATACTGGTGGACGTTTAAACTTAGTATCGTCAAATAAGAAAACATGAGGAGTCGGTTTTTTGGTAATTTTACTGTTGTTAAATTCGTAAAACAACGCGTTTGTTGTTCTTTAGGATTCTTGTCAATGTTGTTTTTCCATCTAATGTTCGACAAATTTGAAACTGACCTATTAAAGGAGTCTAGACTAGGTCTTTTCTAAATTATTTACTCGTAAAATTTTACAACAGATAACTGACTTGTAATTTGGTATCTTAATCAAGCCAAAATCAAAAGAAAAACACGAGTAATATACTGTTTTGATTACCTAAAACCATATTCTTTGGCTTGCTCTGAAAACAACCTAATCCAATAACCTAACCTTTTTTGTTATGAAAGACAAAATAGCCGTGACACACATTCTCCCTCCTACTGAGAATAATGATAATGATAAACAAAGAATAATGACACACGTGCCCCAAAAGTCCAATAGACAAAGAATAATGATAATTTGCATTGCTGAGTCGGATTCTCATTCACATTCTTAAATCCAACTTGCAACTTTTTTTTTTTTAAAGAAAATTAATAGACCATCGTGACATAGAATTCAATTTGTCACAACAAAAAAGTCAGGTAATTAGTGAGCTTATAAGTCTTTAGATCCTCTCTTCTTGCAAATAGGTTCTACTACTCAATGAATTTGTAACAATTGGCATCGCGTCGAAATCGAACAAGTATTATGATTGATTATAGTAATGATGTGGGAGGATTTACTCATAACAATCATTTCTTTTTCATTTGTATCAGCTTTTGTCTTAATTTATCAACTTGGTTTTATTTTGTTGTTCATTTTCATTATTAGTTTAATAGTTTCGCTGTCAATCCTTACTAACCATTGTAATTGGTAGACTTCAACTTTGAAGTGTTGAATGTGTAGTTGGGTTTCTCTCTAATTTTAAGGGTCCTTTTTAGTAATAGATTCTACATTTTCGTTCTATTTTTTTAAACATGGTCATGTGAATGTTGTTATAAATGGGGGCCAACTCGTAATAGAATATTATTTACACATTTTACCATAGGCAAATCTCGTTTAAAATTTGAATATAATCTTTAAGATCCCCGAGAAGACATCACATTTCTTGTTATCGGATAACAGAAGTCAGAAAGTATTATTCCTGGCAGATAATTCTTCGCCTGCCCGAAAGAATCTTATGTAAGCTAAAGCAGAGAGTGAAGAATACGAACCTTATTCTAAAAAAGCAAATTAACACTCCTTTTCATGTCGTGATATTATAATGGAAGACCTTTACAATAATTGGAACGATGTCTACATGAATCTAGCTTCATTTCTCAACTACATTCACCCAAACCTGTAAAAAGAACCAAACCCTTTTCTTCTTTTTCCTCCTACGTCATTATAAAACCAATCTCTCTCGAAAGGCTTTTTATTGCACTATTAGTTTATGTATGTAAATTACAGAGAAATACGCGTCACTTGCTTAAAAGAAGCTTCAAAGTGCTTTTTATATACCAAAGAAGTTGAATTACGAGCTATAAATGCAATTCATTAAACAAAGCACAAAAAGGAGAGATATATTTATATTAAGTGCTTATCCAAGACTCAAAATTTCCACCTGATCAGAAGACACTTTTAAGGTAAGCTAGCTGGACCAAAACATTATCTCTTCTTTTTTTTTTTTTGGGTCTTTTTATTGGTTGTTTATAGCTCAAATGTTTTCTGATTAGGATTCCACTAACCACTTTACCATTTTTTAAAAAACTTAACTCCCCCAAAATTCAACCACAACCTCCTGACTGACAAAAATGATCCCTTACTCTTCCATTCAAACTCTGCCTTCTTCTCTTGCCTTGTTTATTATCATCAAAACCAAGGCATTTTTCGTTTCTTCTATACTGATTCTGATGAAAAGGAAGCCATATAGACTCTTCTATTATTTGGTTAAGCAAATCAATGATATCTCTATCTCTCTTCTCTTGCAGAGGAACTTCTGGTAAGGAAATTTAATTTGATTGATATTAGCTAGTGTAATGGTATGAATTTGTTCAGTCACTTTTTTTTTTCTTTTTATGTGATGTTTTTTGTGTATAATGATGTGATTTTGGCACTCTTATGAGGATCGAGACTCGTTTAAATTGGTATATATATGTCAGTGCCTAAAACAATTGAGAAAAAGAAAAGTGGGTTGTTTGATGGGAACAGGAAAAGATGGATTCTTATTATGCTGCTGATTAATATCCAACAAATTATTGCAGGTAAATGGTTTCTGGCGAACCATATAATAAGGGACAACATATAATTAAGTGTACGTCGTTTCTTTCTTTCACGATAATTCTTTTTGAACTTTCATTTTTCATCTGAATATTGCTGCTTACACTGACGAAATTCTTAATTCAAATCGAACGATGAAAAAATAGCACACTGATTAAATAACAATGTTATGTCAAGTGCCAACTGATATTGTTCATATATTAGCGATTGTGCTATGTTTAGTAACACTAAATCTTGCCGTACATTCAGTAGAAAAAGGAGTATGGAATTTTACAACTGTAGTTTTGTTTTGTTTTGGCGTTTTTTTTCCTTTATTTATTGTTTTCTTTTTTCAGTTCCATATGTGTTTGTTGATCACCATTTCTGATATCTTCACCTATGCATAACATTTTTTTTTTTGCTTTGAAATTCCCTCATCTGAAGCATCCTAATTTTTAGGGAAAATTCCTCAAGAAAAAAAGGGAAAAAAAAAAAAGAAATACCACTTAAAATAGTAAAAAATACTGTTTTTATTACTCCAGTAAAAAATATACAATAGCCATTCAATTATTAAAGAGAAAAAAAGCAGCAATGGCACCTAAATATTTAGAATAAGGAAGAAATTGATAATATACCTTTGAGAGTATATGAGTCTGGACCTTTATTCTTTAATTACTCTTGACAAATACCTTTTTGTTAGTGTAATTATTTAATTAAAAAAGTTACGAATCAAGAATAAAGAATAAAAATCTCGACTTATACATTTTTAAAGAGTATTTGTCAAGATTACCCTTAAAATAACATAAATAATAAGCCTGCACAAAACCTTGAAAACCATACTCTTTCTAAATTTTAAGAAAAGAGATTTTTGGATGCACAATTGTTACCCAGTGGGTCTACTAATTGGCTACAATCGTTAGTTGCTTGCATGATGAGATAGATATTCTGTTGTAGTCTCCCTTTGACGAACGAGTCAACTCTGTATATTTGTATATATTTTGTCATCTCATCACTTCATAATGTTCATTGTTTTACATTGACATTTAATATTATTGCATTTTACGACGTTTCTTTTGGACTAAACCATGGTAATGTTTTATGCATAGGAACAATCACGTCATGTCAATGGTTAACTCAAACGCCATATTAAACTTTACTTGTTAAAAAAAAAAAACATGAATATATAGATAATGTAAACTTGAACACAATCTCAACCAGCTCCACAACTTCTCCAAAAGAAAACTTTAAAATGCATTTATATAGTGAATGAAAACAAAATTCCAGAACGTTATAAGGGCATGATAGTTCCAAAGGTTACAGTCAAGAACTGTTTGTTTCTACAGACAATTTTTAAGTTAAATCCACATCCTTGTAGCTTTATATATGGAGTGCACAATTGTACACCCTTTTATGCTCTTATTTTCTCCTTTGCGGATGAAGTCACGGTCACCCGGGTGCTCCACTAACCACTTTAATTTCTGATGGCTCCCTCCACCACATAGAATTGCTCAGCTTTAGTTCTTGTCCTTTCCTTTTCAATTTCAACATGTCACTTTTAATGAGAAGCATACAACCTGAGTTTCCTTTTCCTTTTCCTAGACTTCTTCCACTAATTTTTTTGGAGAACAGGCTGCGACTGCGTCGGCAACCGTGAGAAAGATTTTGTCCTCGCCGATCAGAGTTTCAAACTTCGATTCGTGGAGTTTGTCGATCACCACCGGTCCAGGATTTGCAAGAATAAGCTGCTCAGCAACATGAAAGGTAAGGGCTGTTAGACTCAAAACTCATAGCAAGTGCAATAGTGGTATATATATCATGATAACACATATATGTCATTATATTTTTGTTATATACCTGAACATTTCTCTTTTGGAGACTTCTATACAATTCTTCCAAGGCATGAATGCCACTGGTGTCAATATCAGTAACAGCTGCAAAAAATTAAAAGCAAAACACCATGATAAATAAACGTTATGTGTGAACAAACAAGAGTAATTTTGTCAACCTATATTTGCCAAGACTAGGTAATTAATTTAAAGAGTGCTTACGTGACATTTCGACTATCAAAAAGTGAATAGTTGGTTCGGCTGCTTTTTTCCGCTCTTCTTCATCAGTCAACCATCTCAATATCCTGCATATAATATAGCAGTTTAACTTTGAAACACCATGAAAAGCTATAGGAAGATTGCTTATTTTATCTAGCGGATCCTGAAAACTTTAAATTCTCCGCATGTATACTTTTCTACAAGTTCTTCTCATGTTGGAGTTTTTGACAAATTAAACTTAACTAACACAATGACACACAGTTAAGGTCATACTTAAACTTAGAATTAGAAGTCATGTCATTGCTTTTCAATCAATTCAAGAATTTAAGGGACAAAAACAAAAAACATAAATAGAGTGCAACAAAAAGGGCATTATAGTACCTCTCCTTGACATAATTGGAGTTGGAGAAGTAAATTGCAGAATCAACTCTCACAATCAAAACGCCCGGAACCTTGGATGCGTCTGGATATTGTTGGATGTTTCTGTACACAGCTGTCCTAGGGATCTTTCCAAGAAGTGCGGTCCTTGGCCTAGTGACTTGTAACAGAATTTTGGCAAAGGATATTGAGACCTACCATGGCACAACCAAAAATAAATAAGTCAAAATCCTCCTTATTTTCTCTAATAACAATATAAGATAGTACTTCACATCACAAAGTTTACCGCAATCAAGAGGCCCATCTCTACAGATGAAAAAACAACACCAAAGAAGGCTCCCATGCAGGCAACAAAATCGAACTTGTCGACCTTCCATATAAGGATTGCAGCCTGAATGTCGATTAGGTTTAGCACGGCATTTATGATGATGGCTGAAAGGATGGCATTTGGCGTGTACTTAAAAAGAGGTGTGATGAACTCCAAGGTTAGGAACACAACGCAGGACATCACAATATTAGAGACTGCAGTGCTGCATCCAGCCATGTAATTGACGGCCGAGCGAGAGAATGAACCTGCAGACAATGCAAAGGATATAACAAGTTAAGACACTTCACTTTATATATCTCCCTATACTTGATCAAACGCACCTCTTAAAATTTTTAGGGGACATTGGATTTTAGAGTATCATCCAATTATCAAGCTTCCCAGTCTTGTGATAAGATCTATAGTTGAATTCTAGAAACAGCTGTTAAATTTTTGCTTTTTTCTTAGACATTTGTTTGAGCTTTATTCTCACCTGTCGCCACATAGCACGAAGTCATTGAACCAACAACGTTCATGGCTCCAAGCGCGATCATTTCTTTGTTTCCATCAAGTGTATAGTCCTTCATGGAAGCAAATGTTCTTCCAATTGCTGTAGCTTCCTGAAATTTAGCACGAACAGAGATTACTTCAAAAGTCTAGATACGTAAAGGGACGATATTAATAGGAGAAGGACTAAAAGATTAGCTCACCGTCAGTGCTATCATGCCAGCCACAACGCCAATCTTGAAACCTTTCCCAAGATATTCACCGCTGAAGTATATTTGATCCACTGATGAAGGATTGATCCCCTTCTCTAGATGTCTCACCTTCACATAAAAAAAAATGAAAATTTTAGCACAACGAGCCATACCACCACTACAATTTAGGAGTGAATTAGAGGAATACACTTTTAACGAGCAGATATTCAAATAAGGAAAAATTTGAGCCTAGTTTAAGCATAGTAGTGATACTGGTGAATAACTAGACTTCATAAGTGACATCGGGCGTAATTTACACACTATTTAGTGAGACCTATAAGGAAACTAAATGAGAAGCTCGCCCAATTAGATGCCATTTTACCATATTACTGCCAAATATCTATAATACATAACTGCACGTGAGGGCTTCAGTCCATTTTTTGGATGGAAACTGATGGAAGGACTACGGTTGCAAGATTTCTCAATTTTAATGGGTGTGATTGGCACATCTCAAAACTTAAAGGGCATATTAATAGTAGTAACAAAGTTCAGGGGATTTTTGAAATTGATCCTTCTTTATGATTAAAACTATATACTAGTTATGTCCTCAGAAATCAGGAAGGATAAAAAGAAAAAAAAAAATTTATGCAAAGTACTTACGATTTCGACTCCTTTCTTTTCTGCATGAGTTATGTACACAAAGAAAGTGGACAGAATAACTGATATCAGTGGGGCAATTGCAGGCACCCAGAAGAGTTTCTTGTTCTTCTTTCCCTGTGGTCCAGAAACATGTGTCTAGTTATGTCCTCAGAAATCAGGAAGGATAAAAAGAAAAAAAAAAATTTATGCAAAGTACTTACGATTTCGACTCCTTTCTTTTCTGCATGAGTTATGTACACAAAGAAAGTGGACAGAATAACTGATATCAGTGGGGCAATTGCAGGCACCCAGAAGAGTTTCTTGTTCTTCTTTCCCTGTGGTCCAGAAACATGTGTGATGAATTATAAACCAGTTCAAGAGCCTAAATATAATATATATATATAT